ATCTATCTATCTATCTATCTATCTATCTATCTATCTATCTATCTATCTATCTATCTATCTATCTATTTATCTATCAACCCATCTTTTAATCTGTCCACTCATCCTCCCATCCACACATGTATGTATGAATCTATCTATCTATCCATTCATCCATTTGGGGCGGCTGTGGGTGAAGGGCAGAGTAGTTTCCTCCAACCAGAGGGTCAGCAGTTCAATCCCAGTCTTCCCCATCTGCATCTTGGACAAGATGCTGAACCCCGAATTGTCCCTCATAGAAAAAAAAGTGCTGCTAATAGATGCACTGTATAAATGTGTGTGTGAATTGGTGAATGGCAAACTGTACTGTAAAGAGCTTTGAGTGGTCATCAAGACTAGAAAAGTTCTATATAAATACAAACCATTTCTATCTATCCACCCATCTCTTCATCTGTCCACATGTATATATGCATGTATCTCTCTCTCTCTAGTCTACAGTACGGTAGAGTGACTCAGGCAGAGAGAGAATAGTGAGTCACGGCGGAGCAGCAAGCGTCAGGAAACATGACAGACAAGTGTCAGATCCCCTCACACACATGATGCCACCTGACTGGAAAACGACTACACGAGGTCTACAGAGAGTTTCTCCACACCCTCGTGTCAAGAATATCTCATTGCTGCCGAGGACTAATTAGCGTTTTCTCTTCCTGCAGTGTCAGAGGTCCAGCAGCCAGCAGCTCTTATCTGTAGAGGTTTCTTCTTAGAGCACGAAGGCTGTGTTTGTTCAAGTCATAATTCATGTCAAAATTAGTGGCTGACGTTCACCAAACATTTTTTTTTGAGGCACGTGGAACTGTGTCGCAACAGGGAAGCAGCCACAGTGTGAAAAGAAACACACAGGCCCAGGTTAATCATTGTAGATCAACTAGCATCAACTCCTTTATTTGGTAAATACATATAAAACCACCCAAACAAAAAAAATAAAGGCCCATTGATAAAATGAGATTTCACTCTTTGCAAAAAAAGAAAAGAAAAGCATAGGACTGTGCAGGTGACACATCGTGACATGACCCTGACCTCAGACTGCAAGAAAACCATAAATTTGATTACTACTCACTTATTCCACTGATTACAACATAATGCATACAGTAGTGTGTGTGTGTATGTGTGTGTGTGTGTGTGTGTGTCTGTGTGTGTGTGTGTGTGTGTGTGTGTGTGTGTGCAGCGTTAAGAGCTTGATTGAAAGAGTGTGGGCTGAGAATGTCATAACCTTGCACACATAGGATGGGTGGAGACTGCAGACATTGTGGAGACAGAGGTTATAAACTTGGGAAAGACTTGGGTAATGTTTTACAGTATCATTGTGCAAAAACATACATCTGAGCGTTGTTTACATTGCAGCTGCCATCAAGTGCTGTGCTTATGGGTAAAAATATTTATTCACAGAATTTACATTGCAAACGTTGGATACACCAGCGTTCAAAAGTTCGAAGTGTTCTCATTTAGATTTGTTTTTCTTTTTTGAATATTTTTTGCTGAGTGGCTGATTTAAACTGCCTCTTACTCACTTACTCAGCAGATTCATGTTTTTCCTGTGTTCATTACGAGATAATACACAAGCTCGATTAAAGATGCAAGCTGAAACACATCGGTCTTGCGATACAATAGTTTGCTCTTCAAACAAGTTTTTCCGGAGTCTTTGGCCCCGAGTAGTAAATCAATTTCACCTCTGCAGGAACACTGACTGACGGTTGCTTCATAATGCAACAACAAAAAAATCTGCCTTACAATAAGTTGGACACGGGCAGACGCTCTGACGAGATTCCATGAAACCCCAGCTGCACTCTTCACACAACAGTAAAAATTCTTCACAGCAAAACAAGAACACAGGCTGTTAGTTGCCATAATTCCTCGTGGTCGTTTCAGGAATTTTAAATATAAATTTAAGTATAAAATGATGCTAGTTTCTTGTAGAAACATTCAAGTTAGTACATCTACTCAAGTAGATTTTTCAGGTACTTGTATCCTACTTGAGTAATTCCTTTTACTACATTACTTTAGACTTCTACTCCACAATATCTTAGAGGAAACATTTTATTTTTTACTGCTAAACATTTTAAAACTATCTTTAAATCAGATCATGGTCTTTCACTTTGAGAGCAGGAATTATGGATGTGACATTTAGTGGTTGTAATGCTTCCACTCAGAACTCTGTACTTGTGCTCAATAAAATCCATAAGTTCCCAGATTGGGATCAATAAAGTAAACAGCTCCTGCTTGTGCTTAGATTTGCTCTCAAACTGTACACTTGCACTCAGATATTTTGTTACCTGGTTTCCTGCGCTCCAGCTTCAGCTTCAGCTCTCCTCCTTGTGAAGGAGGAAAAAAAACAATAATATAATTTACATAACACATTTAGTTACTTTGCAAATTCTAAATCTTATATGATGTAAAAATCATGGTCATATCTGACCCCCAAAATTTAGTTTTGTTTTCATTGTGATCTGACACATAAAATGTTGGTTCCATAGGTTTTGCATATGACCAAATCAGCTCGCTAAATTTACATTTAGAAATGTACACATTTATTACAATACAAACCATACAATGCAAAACAGTGAGGCCCTAAATTAAGAATATATGACAATAAAATAATATCATTATTCATTACATAGGATTATGAACTGGTTTATTTTTATGCTTTATCTTTTGACAGGGTATTTCTACTGCATGCACATTAACTAAAACATCTGAGTACTTCTCCCACCACCCTTTCTAGCTTGTTTTATTGTAAACAATAAAACTACGTGGCTCTGCAATACTAAATAAATGAAAGCCACTCACTCTAGACTGTAAAAATTGACTCATAATATTTCTCTTATGAATCACATTGTTATTTGGGATTATGGCTAATAATTGTGGTGGTTGCGTAAGCCCTGAAGACGAGTCGCAGGAGAGCGTCAGGCCTGCTGCCCTCACCGTCACTCGTTCATCCCGTCCCCCCCCGACTTCTACTTCTCCCTATCACACACAAACACACTCATGCTCCACCACACACAGTCAGAGGCAGAGATAATATTTTCACTGTGAGCTTCTTGAACTCTGCAGATGGGAAAACGGCCTCTTCCCGGAGTTTGCTGTTTGAGTTACCTCCAGTTTGAGGAAGTTGGCCAGTCAGTGTGTTACGGAGCATGTCGTCAATAAGTGCAAAAACAATTCAATTACACAGCCTCACTTTGGTGCTTGGACCAGTTCTCATGCATTTACCCTCAGAGGATGACCAGTGAGCTCATGAGGTCACTGACTGAGAGAGTTGTGATGTGCTGCCCTCTACTGGTGTTGTCTCTCCTTACATCCACATTGTAATAGGCCGCTAAACAGAACATTGTATAGTTACATCAGTTTTATTGATTCACTAATGGCTGTGATGATTTATCAAACTGATCATATCACCAGGCTGCCCTTTCACATCGTGGAGTGTTCAAACTCATCTGTCTGTCAGGGTTGAAAAAGCTTTACACCTTCTAACATCATATAAACTGAGTTCATTATGGTTGCTGATAGAAATTCAATACAAGTCCCTTAAAACACAAGAGAGGCTTTTGTAGCTGTGATTTCAGGATCTTTTTGATTACAAGGCATTAACAAGGGTTTATATCTCTGAGCCATTTACCCACCATGCATCTGAGGGCAGCCTGGGATCCTCTGGTAGTCATTTCAAGCTAAGGTTGGTTATGGCACAAACACTGAGACAAACCCAGTCATGCAGTCCAAGTGTAGTTATTTTTCATTTGCAACTTAATTCCCTGTGCAGCAATATGTACAGTGTAGGCCTGATTTTTAAATTTAATTAAGTAAGAAGGAAAGAATACAAAAAAATAATACTTCCAACAAAAACTAAAAAAATAGTTAAACTTGGGTGAAACACAAAAAACATACCGAACACTCTTGTGGGTCCATATTAGTTCTGAAAAACAATTAAAACATCATTCATCCCATGACACACTCAGCCCCCCTCCAACTCCACCATACTTGGTGCCTTCCCCCGGGAACCCCTGCTCATAAGCCGATGGGACCCTCCGGCTCTGTTTGCGCAGTCCCGGGCCTGACAGCGGAAGACACGTGCAGCAGAGAGGAAGCAGGTGACAAACAATTCATCGTCTTTGAGAAACAGCTTTTAATAATAAATAAAATGATTCAAGTCGACAACAGCCCCTGTGTGCTCATTTTAAAATGCATATCATGTATTCAATGACCCCTAAATGTGTCCTGCTGTGTCGGACAGACACGAACACAGACTTTGAACACACTTAGTCTGATGAACATTTTTATGTTTTACGTGTCTCACGTGTGGTTTTGACAAAATGGCGGTGGTAACATTTTTAACTGAGGAAACAAACCAGACTTTGTTGTTCAGCTCTGGATTAACGCGAGCAAATGTTTATTTATTTATTTATTTTTTCAACCGGAAGCATTGACTTGTTGTTTTCTGTGTCAGAGTCCAGCTTCATGGTAATTCATCTTTTAATCAAGTCCTTGTTGGTAGAACTGAAAGGGAATGAATTTGTTGTTTTGTCACATTGAAATGACTGAAAGTGCGTTATGTAAAAATACATTCATTTGAACTTGTTTTGAAAGGTCTTTATAAACAAAGTTGTCTTATGTCTTATATATTTTATGTGTACCATATAATTAACTAAATACAACTTACTGTGATGGTCTGACATGTCTAACGTTCCCTCCAAATGTTTTATTCACACCTCCTGTGGTTCTGTTCCGCCAATCAGATTCTGCTCTGGACTGATCCCGCCTCTCTAACTTTAAACGTGGAGAGTGAACTAATGATGGCACCACTTTACCAACCGCCATTAAACATCAGAAGAAGAAGAAGATGGCGCCCACCTGTGGAGAGGAGTGTGTCACATCTGTTACATCGGGTCTGTCTCCAAACTCTGCAAACTTCACTGAGGCTGTGAACATGAAGACATGAGGCCTGGTGCTGCCGGTGAGTCCATCTTAGATCCTCACTTTACTTCCTCCTCTCAGATCCTCACTTTACTTCCTCCTCTCAGATCCTCACATAACTTCCTCGTCTCAGATCCTCACTTTACTCCCTGATCTCAGATCCTCACTTTACTTCCTCCTCTCAGATCCTCACTTTACTTCCTCGTCTCAGATCCTCACTTTACTCCCTGATCTCAGATCCTCACTTTACTTCCTCTTCTCAGATCCTGTATGGATTTGTTTGAGAAGATGTTTCACTGGTGGAAGAAAAGCTGAGCTGAACATAAAATGGTTTTGTTTTGGAGAGAGGTCTCACTCTGCACACATTTGAGACACTGAATGATTTGAACAGATTTGTATGTTTGGTTGTTGATCTCTGAAGTTTTTTAAAATTTGGTTGTGATCTCTGGACTATGTATGTTAAATACACATTTCTACAGCTGTCGCAATTTACATGTTGTTAAAAGAAACACTGAATCATGAAGGCTGATGTTTTTACATTGAAATAACCTTTGATTAACATTGTCTCAGTGGACATTGTGTCCTCTTTCTTAAACTGTTTTAGATTCGAAGTTGATTTTATGTCACCGCTGTCCTCCACATGAGTCCCCATCATTTGCAACAGAGTCAAGAACTCCTCCAAGAGCTTTAATGGAGACACATTTACACAACAACCTTGTACAACTCGTGGCCACACACATTTTTATAAAATAATTTGGTCCGGCACACATCAGTTACTTCTACACATTTTACTCAACCCAATTTTAACATCACATGCACAAACACGCACACATCATTCTGAGCCTGAAACTAGATTTCACTTCAACGTTCTGCCATTACAGACCAGAACCATTTGAAGAGAAAGAACTTCTTCTGCTTGGACATTACAGTTTGATCTGGGTGTCTGCTAGTACTGATATTTCTTTAAACTTTAACTTCTTTAGTTTTTATTGGCACAGCTCTTTTAATAGTTAACTATTTGGTTGCCGAGCCATCATCTAATTCTACTATTATCTTACAGTAGTTCAATAGCACCTGTTACGGTTATTTAATCCATTTAGTGTTCGGTTTATGATTGAAGTATGTAAATACATTGTACAGCTGTTAGTAATGAAGCCCTGAGGTCAGCCACTTTAGTTCTTTATCACATCTACAGCTGATCTTGTTTATCTTTTACTGTGTCACTCATAACGACAGCAGTGAAGCACTGTACAGAGATGGCACATCGGCACATTACACCACATTCATGGACATCATATACACAACGTCATCACCACAGAGCCACTGACAGTGAGTGTTTTTCTAATAATATTTTGATGAGCAGCTTAAGATTTTAGATCATCATACGCCTGACAAAACTTGATGAAAGATAAAATATGTCTGTATTTCCTTCCCATCTGCGTTTGTTTACTCCCATTAGTGCGTCTGATACAAATGAATGAGCATGAATGAAATGCATCTGTCAACTGTTTGTAAAAAGAGAAAAGGTATTTAGAAGTAACATAATGTTTTGGGGAAATTTTTTTTTTTACATTGTTGTCAGGCAAAATTTGCTGTTTCAATTTCAAACATTCAGATTTTCGGAGCCCTTGCACATGAAACCGAGTTTTCAGAAATGAAACCATCACAGGGAAGTTTTTTACCATTATCATTTGTGATGTGCAGATACAATTACCTAATATGCACAGTTTTATCTGGATCTGTGCTCTTGAGATGAAACTCGAAAACCAGTTGCAGTAGAAATGAGTCATTGCAGCAGAGGAACAAGGTCAAAGTCTGTTTAAAACATCCTCAGCATCTTAATCTCTATAGAGGCAGTGATTTATTCCTCGAGCCTTTATTATTCACAGCATGCACGACAGGAGTTCACCGTATTCATTTTGTGAGGACCTGTTTTCTTAATCTAATCTGTTCTGTATTCACATAAATTAAAAATCGGAAATGAACAGAAAAGGGACTAAAAAAAGATCTGGTTCATCAGAGCAAACTGCACAGAATAAATAAAGTAATAATTGTCCTGAAGTATAACTCTCCTCTAAATGAACTAAAGCCTCACAGGAAGGAACCTCTGTCCTTCTGTTACATGTAGATGAATACGAAGAGGCCACGAGAAGCCCCTCGGCTTCCTCTCCTGGAGTGACAACAATTTTACCTTATCACCAGAAAAACTTCAAATAC